GCCTACAGAAATTTAAAAAAAAAAAAAAAAAAAAAGAAAGATGGAAACAAAAATGAACTCACCCATAATAAGAGTCAAGGCACAAATGCTGTCTGTTCTTTATTAAGCTCTTGGGGTTTAGCAGTGAAACACTTCTGGGAGAGCTGCTATAAAAGATCTCAATTTTCATATGTGACCCAGGATTTTATATCTTCTAGCAGACAAAAATAAATGAAGAATACCTAGTCCTGGCTTTTTTAATGTATGTCAGATACTTAGTGCTGTGYTGGCAGTATCTCACTCTTTACTATCTGATATGTTTTTCTTTTCTGGATGAGTTCCTTGAGAAGRAATTAGCAATAACTCCCTGGTAACAGCTGCTGTCTGTGAATATTTTGGAGGTTGCCCTTTCCAGATTCTGAGGATAATAGAAGAAAACAGACCTAATTATACGGGGTTGACATTTACATGGCCGGTSCTAATTTTAGCAGAGCTGTCTGTGGTTTAATTGAAATGATGCTGTAATAATTTTAATGGAGAAACTATCAAGAAAACAAACAAACAAAAGTGCCCCCTCCTAAATGATTCTGCATGAGACTTCAACAAGATGTTGTGAGCTCTGCCTCATCTCTTTTTTTTCAATTAAAGGAGACTGAACTGAGTGCTCTTCTTCKGGATAAAATCAATGGGAGGCACTCAGATGCCGCAGAATTAAGAGCAGTGCATCAAGGAAATACACTTCAACATCTAGAAAATCTACCTTTAAAGCACTTTACTAATATGAAAAATACAYATCTTTAGGTTGAAGATCAATGGGAGGATGACATATTGCAGAATATTWTGTTCCTTGCCATCACAATTTTATCACCATGGCTCTGCCTGGTATGCTTGCTCTTAAAATTTTTCACATCCACTGTAGAGGCAAAAAATGCATCTTTACCTATCTGTATTCCTTCCAAACAACATCCCAGGTATGGGGATCCACTGCTTCTTTACTTGAATTTTAGCTGTCACAGTGCTGTGCTTTCTAAGGCTGACACAGAAATTACACAGAGCTCAACCACATTTTAGTGTCCCAAAGAACTGAAGCCAGGAATTTGAAATACACTCATTTTGATTTATTATCTAATTCAGTTCTGAGTTCTAGGCTCAGTGCCTGAGGAATCTTTTATAGAATCAGTGTTCTCCAGCAGCCTCTGGGGAGGCTTGAGGCAAGACTTATCAAAAGGTTACCTAAAAATGAAATGAGGGAGGATAAAGAGCTCCACACACATCTTTGTAAGGCAGTTGACTCACAYTGCATCCCTTGCTTTGAATCAGATRCTTTCAGTCTTTTACAGGGTCAGCTGAGCTTACTCTGCAAACTTTTACTGATTCTCAGTGGGCCGGAGGGCAGTTAAAGAGACATGAGTTTTTATCAAAATCTGGCCCAAAGCTTTTTACCAAATGTGATGTGCCCATGTTCACAAAAGGGACTTGCTGTGGATTTCTTACAAAGAATTTGTAGATACTCATTGCAGTATACTTACATGAAGACAAGGGATCAGCCATTGATGTGAGTTTTCWGTATCCCTAGCAGAGTACTTGAAGTCCCCAGGCAAACAGGAGCAAGTTGCTTGGTAACACTGATTTTTATTAAAGTTGWACATAGAGCTATTTTCTGTGTGCTAGCCCACATTCTCTAAATGGAAAAGAAAAAAATAAAAGCAAATCATTTTTGCAGTTAGGCCTATTTTATCTATCTTATTAACTAGCCAAAATCATAATGAAATAAATCTGTATTAGCAGTTAATGATCAGTGGGTTAGTTGACAGCTGCAGGCAAGCCCGGTGATATAAAAATTACCATCATTATGAAAATCTTCTATTAAGATTTTTTATTAAAAATGTGAATACAATCTGYTTCTGTTTCAACAGCAATATTATAAAATTGGTCTTTCATGATCTTTAATAACCAATTTTCTGCCAGAATGACCCAGAATGCTCTCATATGGATTCTGTATTAAATTTTATTTTAAAGAACCTGAGGGGTTCTRTCCTGTAACAGACATAATTAAGCTRCAGCTCAAAATGTATATGTAATACATATAACTAGTTATAARTTTACAGTCTSTTCTATTTGTCACCTATTAAAATCTTTGCAAATGAAACTTAAGGATGTGCTGTAATGGTGTTAAAAAGTGTTTACATTATTTTGGTATGCATGTATGTGTGTATTCAAGGCAATCTAAATGCAAATATATCCTGAGGTACKCTCTTCTGTTTTAAAGTTATTACAGRCATTTGTCTTAACTACACCAGAGTAARCCCAAAGTGGGCAAATCTCTCAGTGAGGGAGAATAATGTGCTGTAGTTGGCTTCTGATCCAGWGGGATGGATCCCAGTTCAGATGTCSTCAGGATTATTGCAACTGTCTGCCATCAGCTTAGTTGTTTCAGATACTGGATTAAAAATGAGTGGCCAATTTTGAAAAATTTTCACTTTAACTTCATGATTGGCAATAATGTGTCTATATATAGTATATTTTCTAAATTTGGGTATTGATTTGATAGATAATGCATCAGAGATCTAAAGAAAAATCTTAAATATTTATTAAAATGAACAAAAAGGAGTATAGGGCTTTTTTCATCCAGATATTAACATTTTAATGGATTTTTAATGAGGATATTTTCAAGTTATTTCATAATACAAAACTTTTCAAGTCATTATTTCAAAGGCAAATTGCTCTTGCCATGATGATCTTTTACAAATGCACAAGAAGTAAGCAATTACAAGTGCAAAGCAGTTGCTTAATTTTCATAATTAATATATGATAAACCTCTTACGTACAGAAATTCAGATATGTTTAGGTAAGAATTTCCTACTGCTTTTTGCATTCATAATAAAGTGAGGCAGTGGTCTGTATTTGATGTCCTGAGGCCTTTTTAACYGGGAGAGGTGGAAATCCTGCCAAGTTGTATGGTTTTAAATATTCCCAAATTTCCTAATTTGAGACTGAATGTCCAATCTTAATATGGTTAGTTTATTTTAATTTAAGAGTATTTCTAGCTAAAAGTTTTACATCAGWAGACTTTAATTAAGTGCTGATAGAGGATTGGTGTAGTTGAGGAGTCCTGCCTCTTGCTCTGTGTTTTGGAGAGCTGTTTTTCAAACCCTACTCTCCTTCCCTGATTTGACTTATTTGAACTTTTTTCTTTCTGGCCATTCCTGTCTGGCATCATTTTATTCAGTCTTCCTACATCCACCTTCATTCCCAAATTCTGTGCATCCACCTTTTTTTCCATTTTGTCTTTCCCAAGCCTGCATTACCATTTTCCTACCACCACTCTCCTACAGYTCTCAGCATCGAGGTTTTCACCCTCAAGGCATTTAGGCTGTAGGAAGGTGACCATTTGGGGCACCARGTAAAGTTTCCCTGGTGACATTTTCTGATCACAAAAGCCACCTGTGCTCATTGGAAGAAGCAATCCCCAAGAGGATACTGTGTGCCCCAGGCAGGGTGACTCCACCGGTTCCAGTCATTCTCAGGGAGTGATACCCATGGATCTGAAATATTATCACAAAAAATGATTCAAAGCCTAATGTAGAAGTAGTTACTCATAACTAAGGGGATTTTCTGCAGATAGAATTAAAGCTGAAACACTAAGCCTGAGAGGTCATCTCCTGCAAATTCCAAGAATTCTTTTCAAACAAACAATTGTTCTATGTAATCTTTTGATAACTTCATTTCTGAAACAGCTGAGGAAAATGTTCTGACACTTGGCAGACTGGCAAGTCACTTGGAAAAGGCCCTTAAAAATTCGAAACACCAGGCTACCTTCATTGCAGAAAACATAAATTTAGTGGGTTTTTTAATACAGCAAAAATCAATCAGATGAAAAATTATACAGAAAATTCATTGTTTGTGTAATAATAATAATAATGTTGATTCTTTATAATATATTACAATTACCTTGAGTATGAGCATTTGTTTTTGGATTTATCTTTTTTTGTGCAGTGTCACTCACAAGTAACCCACAGCTGAAAAAAACCCCATGAATTAGGCCCTAGAAATTAATGGGATTGATAAACATATGTTATATGTGATCTCTGAATATTAAACGTGGCACATTTACTTAATTGGGGTGGGGGTGAGAGTTGTAGCAAAGGCAGGGTAAAATGGAATTTTTCTCAGGGAATACTGTGCACTGTGATAAAAGAACAGTGATTAAAAAAGAAAAAGGGAAATATATGAGTAAAGTGATAGAGATAATTTTGAAAACTTWCAAAATACCACAACAATCTGTTCCATCTTGCAGGAATCCGATTAGCTCCCAAAGAAAAGCTGGACATTCCTCTGTTATTCACACCAGAGAAAATGAAAGTTTATAAAGCTGAGGTGGTAATTCATGTAATGAGAGAAAATGGTGAAAACTGGTCTTACAAGGTTACTGCTGATTCAGATACAGACTTAAACAGGTAATTTATTCTAATAGAAAAGGAAAAAGTAGTTGAGGATACTCAATCCTATCATCATTTATCCCATCAGCTGTTCATGGGCAGTTCCCATGGGCAGTCCAATGCCGGATTTTTGAGGGCAATGGGTATCTACCAAAGGCTTTTAATGCCTTGGTATTGACCCTGCCAAGTATGCAGATTCAGGGTAAGATTCCTGTCTGTTTCAATAACTACCTATTCTCACTTTAAATAAAGAAAATGTAAAGTATTGGCTGCTGGTKCAGTCATAGATATTGAGCAAATGAAAGCACTTAGGTACCTCTGTTTTTTCAATATATTTGGGATAATAAWGATTCTCATCCAGATATTTTTATGTAATTCATCAACTGCAGAAACTTTATTTCAGTGTAAACATAACCTGAGAGAATGCAGATCAGGCCCAATATTCTCAGATCTATGATATTCAAACACACTAAATGGATTTAAGTTATAGCTAATGTAATTTATAGCTGATATATTTAGTTTATATTTTGTTTCATATGTTTCTCAGATACGGTTAGCATTGCAGCATACAATGAAATGGAGTCTAACCTTTCCAACAACTCTTAAGTCAAGATTAATTTGGAGACATAATTTTCAGCARTCTATCTTACTGATACTCTTATTCTTCTAGAAATATTACTCTGACAGAAAATGGAGAAACTCGGGGAATACTCTGGATCTATCCGATTCATGGAACRCCTGAAGCACCGCAGCAGAAACCAGGTAGGTAATGCTTGAAAAAAGCTTGAACAATATATTTAAGAAAATTAAAGTAGTTTATATTCTCACCTGCTTGATCAGAAGAATTTGCAACAGTAATTTGCTACATCTTCAAAAAAAAAGAAAAAATAATATTAAAAATAAAATCTTTTCCCACTTCCAAAGCTAATCTAGGSCTATTAGTTTGTTCTTATTGTGGATAAAAGGAGTTGGGGACAGCTGGAAATTTTAAGGCCTGTGCCCTTCAGTGTCTCAGTTAATCCTGAGTTTGAGAGCTGCAGTGGAACAAACAACTGACTCAAGGGTAGACTTCTCTCCTACCCAGAAAACCCTTCTGGAGACTTTACAGGATGCAAAATATTYGAGTAGATGTTTGCTACTTCTCTCAGCCTTAATTGCATTTCTTAATAAAAAAAAAAAAAGAATATAAAACAGTGTGAATAGCAGTAAGTTTCCCCCTCTCTCCTGAGAAGTAAACTTGCACTAAAAGATGACTGACATTCTTAGAGAGAGGTTTCTTGCTTATTTTTTGGATAGTAAATGCTTGCATATTTGGCCATCTATACTTTTAAGATGTGGTATAATCCCAGAGCTATGGAACAGAAAGTTGTGAGCAGCTTTTTAAATCTCTAACCCTGAAAGTACACTCAGTGTGTAGATGATGCATGAATTTTACACCAGCTTGTCCTTTCAACTTACCTTTTGTTGACTGAAWAAGTGAATATAATACCTTTCTACACTAAATGTATTAAGATACAGGAACAATTTCTGGAAAAACATAGATATTTGTACTGTCATTAATTTATATTGCTTAAGGACTCTTGACTTGTAGACAAATGCCAATGATGTGGTATTAATTAGAGCTTTCATCTTTTTAATTTCCACTTTAATACCTTAAGGAATGAAACAGAATATTATTATGTAATCAACTGTTGCCCAAAATGATGGTTTTAATGAGTCTCATTAGCATTAAAACTATGTATATTAATGTGGATGTTTGTTGTGTTGTTTAAAGCTGTTGTGTAATTCACTGGCACTCTTTGAGATCAATCTCCCTTTTATTGGGCTGTTGGTTTCATTGGAATCACAGAATCATTAAGGTTGGMAAAGACCTCTAAAACATTGAATCCAACCTTTAACCCAGCCTCATCGTGTTCACCACTAAATCATGTCCTGAGCACCACATCTGTGGGGTTTTTGAACATTTCCTTCTCTGGCCACGTTGTTCCAATACCTGGCCACCCTTCCCATGAATAAGTTTTCCCCAATATCCAATCTAAACCTCCCTTGGYACAACCTGAGGCTGTTTCCTCTTGTTCTGTCACTTGTTACTTGGGAGAAGAGATTGACCCCCTCCTGGCTACAACCTCCTTGCAGGTGATTYTAGAGATGGAGATGGAGATGGAGATGGTCTTTCCTGAAGCTCCTTTTCTCCAGGCTAAATACCCCCAGCTCCCTCAGTCACACCTCATAGAAATCACTCTCCAGACCCATCCCCAGCTCTGTTCCCTTCTCTGGGCACGCTGCAGCCCCTCAATGTCCTCCTTGAATTGAGGGGTCAGAACTGGACACAGCACTGGAGGTGTGTCCTCAGCAGTGCCCAGTACAGAGGGATGGTCACTGCCCTGTCCTGCTGCCACACCATTGCTGATCCAGGCCAGGTGCCATTGGCCTCCTTGGCCACCTGGGCACACCTGGGCTCATGTTCAGCCTCTTTTTMACCAACATCTCCAGGTCCTTTTCCACCAGGCAACTTTCCAGTCATTCTTGCCCACCCCTGGGACTTGKGGTTGTTGTGACCCAAGTGCAGGACCCAATGCTCTCAATATAAATTATGAATTAAAATGTTGAGYATTCATGAATTGCTTAAGTCACATCAATTCTGTATGTGATCAGAAACTTATAGACTGTCAAATCTTAATTTTGAATTTCTGGTTTTTTTTTTTAAACAGCAAAACTAAATTATAGCATATTGAGAGCTATATTTTCCGTTAGTTTATGTTCAATAAATGTTTGCAATATGTAAAAAAAAAAAAATAATTCATTAGGAATGCATACAGTTTTTTGGCCATCAGCATGTTATGTTGGGCTAATTTTTTTTTTCGAAGGAAGTACTAGTCTTTCAAAAATGACCCAGAAAATTGAAATATGTGTTTGTAGAAGTTTCCATTCCTACCTTGATTCTGAAAGCCTATAGTTTTCAGTTATAAATGGGCATTTAAAAAATCTGTGCTGTGAGGTATGAATCCAAAGCAGGTAATTATAAGAAATAGATTTTTAAAAAAAGTTTAAGTAATGATGAAATTAATATTGTCATCTCTTTTAAAGMAGACATTTATTAAAATTGCCTGGAGGCTACAAGCTGCTGTGTCAAAACCCAAAGCTGCTTTGCTCRTATATTAGGGAGTTCATCTTTGTGTCATTCTTATTTGCATCTTAATATACTTAAACTTCTAGAAGTCACTTGGCTTTCCATCTCATGAGACCAATTAAAATGATCAGTGGTCACAACCCATGTAGYACATGTTAAGCAGATGATAACTTGGCTATTTTATAAAAGTGATTACAAATGGGGGATCATCAGGAATATTCTTTTAATTCTTGTAGAATGTAGATTCAAAGAGGCATAGAGCAATTTAAATTGGAGGGACCACTGGAGGTCATCTAATCCAACTCACTGCTTAAGGCCAGGTTGCTCAGGGACTTGTCAAATCCTAGATATAGCTGACTTTTATTTGTAGATACTACTTAACCATTTAGGAAAAAGAAAATATAAAATCAATTCTKGTAGTAAGATGAGCAGTGAATTAGAAAGTGATACAATGTGCACACAGTAATCTGAAACATTGGCAAACTAGTGGAATGTAATCTATTCTTAAATATAAGATCATGCATTTAGACAAAAAGATGTGTTTTTAACTATTTCAGTAGTTTTCCTTATGGAAATCCTTTTAACAGAGCTCTAGAAATTACTTACACCCTGTTAAACAGGGAGAGACCAAGGAAGAAAGGAAATTACTTGAACTTGATGTGTAATTATCCATTTTCCAGAGTAATGATCATGAATCATGTTCCAGAACTGAAAGCTGAAGCTAAATTTACATGATATTGAAAAAAGTGTTTAATTGCTCTTTTTAAAAATACTTTAGATAAATACTCTCTTTGACGTGGTTCCAAATTATTGATTATTAATTCCTGATGTTAAATCCAGAGTTAATTTTTAAAGAAACATTGGGTGTAACTGACAAAAATTACTTTTAGACCTTGAAACTGAAAAGTGTGTGATCAGCTGTTCTTTCTCATGTTGAGTCCCAGAACTCTTGGAAGTTCTAGGTCTTATCTTTGGGAGAAGATACTTTTTTCAGTGCTCTCCTTTTTCTGTGCCAATAAATACTGAAAGAACCAGAAGCAATAGCTAGTGAAATAAGCCTTATAAAAACCATTGTATAAGCTAAAATGTAACAAATTTGTATTGAAAAAGACATATTTTGAAAGCTGTAAATTAAAATCACTTAGGGGGTTGAAAGAAGTTCTGTGATGCTTCAAACAGAAACTCATGTGAGAATGCTTTTTATTCTGGCATATAACATAAAAGATAAAGATGTATTATCTTTTAAGATTAATATTCTTAAACTAAGAAATCAAACAGTAACTTAATATTTTTCCATTTAATCTKAAAATACTTTTATTTCTTTCATTTCACTCATCTTTTCCTATTGGCATATTTCAAACTGTGCCGTAACTCCTATTAGAAATTGAGCTAAAATGAAGATACATTTTATGATTAAAGATTAGAGAGAAATTTGCAAGTGCTGTTGGGCACTAACTGAACATATTTTTGTTTGCTTAGTAATATTTTCTATGACTTCACCACAACAGAACAATAGAAAATGGAGTTGGGAAAGCTGTTAGTTGTCTTACTCCTTACTGAAATTCTGTCTTTCTCTAAGCACATTTTACTTCTATGTTTCATTGCCTTGTTAAAACCAAGATGGCAGCRCTTTGCAAATAGGATGTTTTTGCTTTTCTGTAGTTGTGGTACGCTGCCAAGCCAGGCAGAGACTAGAGCAGAGAGTGGAGATGCTGCTGTTTGGTGTAGTGCCCCATGAACTGCCCAATGCAGGGAATTCTGCCACAGTCGGTGCAGATCAGTCGTCCAACACCCAGGAAGTCACTGATGGTAAGAATAAATATTTCTGATATCATACAATTGTAGGAATATTGCAAATAAGGTAAATACTTGACTAAATGTGCAGCTGTGCCATGAAAATGGGTGAGGTTTAGACAACTTGWTCAAGTCTGTATTTCTACCATTTTGCAAATATGGGGTAATTATTTAATTATTATTGTGTCTGCAGCTACAGGCACCTATAAACCAGAACCTTTCTTTTTTCTTTTAATTTGTCCTGGTTGTGAGGCTTGCACATGTACAATCACTCATTTAAAAGAGAGCCTGCACAAAGTCTTAAGTTAGAAAAAATGTCTGTGTAAGCATTGCCAGGAAACATTTATCTTCAGGTTTGTAAGATGTATTCCCATCAGCAGGCCAATATCTGTATCAGAATGGATTGAAGAAGGAGGACTTTTCGAAAGAAGTGATAAAGCTTTGCAAAAGGATAGCTTCCACTTACTGTTAATCTCCTGAGAACACAGTGAAAATCAATTTATTCAGATACAGCAGCTTTTCAAAATATACCTCTCCTTGACACAGAATGGTACAACATACAAGTAGTAAGGAAAAAATGCTTGTTACTGCTGTATCACCAATATTTCTGTTATCATAGTCACTACAACAAATTTGAAAATTGTGCACCTTGGAAACGTAACATTTCCTTTTGGGTTCAAAGTCATCCTCATTTTAAAGAAAAATGTTCTTTAAAAATTATGACAGATAACGAGGCAGACTAATGTGTGTTTAACTTAGCTGTAAATGAAGGAAGGGATTTCACCTGTACTCTGACTTTGTCCAAGGTGATAAAAGATGAGTTTACAGATGTTGCTATAATTGCACTCTATCAGGTAATCAGTTGGAGAGGCAGGAMAACTTGGCTTTTGTGTCCCATTTCTGCCATTTACAGTCTGTTCCAACAGAGGCTTTGCAGGAATACAGAAAATGTCCTGCCAAGTAATTGGAAACAGTGAATAGCTGTAAAAGGTAAATCAAGATGCATTACATCCTTCCTAGAAGGCTGATTTTCATTCAGGYGTGCTCATGCTCTGCACACTGATCAATGTAGACTCATATCTGCAATTACTGTCCAGATCTTTAAACAGATACTATTTTTGAAAACTTTTAAAACAGGAGATCTGAAGTTGAACTGTTAACAAGAGCTTGCACAGCATATACTTACTGATTAGCAAATATTCATAATTACTTATTTAAACTTTMTATTTACTCATATTACAGTGCCAAATATACCTTACTCTCTGGGCATATTATCATCTTGAACTCCCATATAACAAAGTTCTGGTGGTCAATCCAGTAAAGCAAAAAAGATGTGAAGTTGTCAGTGTACATTCTTTCCTTTTTGTAGAACTGTAAATATTATTATAAATCTTTATTCAGCCTTTTGAGAACAGTTGTCCATCAGGATACAAAAGGACTTTATTTTATCATACAGTAACAGCCCATTATTGACTGGTCACATATGAATGGGCTGCCTTAAACACACCTGGGCTATTTCCCTCCAACATGGTGGCATCTGAGTTGACAAGAAAAACGTGCACTGAGCAAGCTGAGGCAGCATTTTGGAACACTTGCAGATTCAGGATGTCTAGTGCTTGTTTTATTCATAGGGATAATTTATTAACACTGCTTCTGCACATGCTACAAGACATTGATTTGGGACATTGTAATTTTTAAAGCAAAAACTCTGGTAGTGAAATGCTTTACACCATAGGTAGTAAGATCATTTATAACACTGTGCTTTTCATAGTTTTCAATGACATTTTAATGCCATTATTGATAGATGAATTTGATGCCTGTTAGGAAGCAAATTTAATGGTACTATCTGTGCTTTCTGCAGTCTACCAGTAATAACATAAATAAAAGCCTAAACCTCTAAGATAACAGTCTGGCACGCTGTTCTTCATTTTTTTTTCTCTTCTGAAAGAGTGATTCATCAGAGTGCATACATCATGTATTGTAAGCAGTTTTTACATCCAAGGATAAATGATGATAATTACTGGCAGATCAGATTTAAACAGCTAATACTGTGCTTCAGTATTTAAATTATTTGGACAAGTATAAATTCTTGTGAAGTGGAAAATCGTCAAGCACATCTTCTACATAAAAAATTCAATTTCATCCAATACACAGCAGTGCATTTGGCACAGAAAGCTACTACAATTTCTTAAGAAAGAGAGTGCAATCTAAATACYGTCTAGCTCCAATGACATAGTTTTTTGTTCAGAAGTCAGCAAAGTTCCAGGATTCAAGTAATGCAAGTTTTATATTTTAGACATAGCAAGTATAGTATGGCCCTTTTTAAAAATAATTTTCAGTTGTGTTAAATGAGTATTTTAAAATGTATTTTTCATCTGTTTTCTTTGAACGGTTCTAAAGAGATATTTTTCATTAAATGAAATTAAGAGCTGAGATTCATCCACACAAGTTTGAAGYTTGCTGGCTTTTATTCTAATAAACCAACACTTTTATTAAAGTATCCAGTGGGGATTATGAACATACTTAATTTTCCACAATCTTGTAAAAAAACCCAAACTCATTCACTAATCAGTTATGGATGTTTGATTAACATTTAGAATTTTGTGTGTTTGTATTGGTGCTTTGTAACTTTTCCTTTTCATTTGCTTCAGTTTATCTCATAAGCCAACCATGAAATCTGAGTGTTTATCATTAACTTCCCTCTTCTTTATTAATTCATAGTCTCCCAAAGGCTGGTCTCAGCTCCTTTCTCCTGAGTTTTTATTTCTGGGAAGGTTTCATGGGAGTTATCTTTGAGGGGAATAGTGCTGCCYAGGTTGTGTAGGGCAGCACAGGTGGGTTTATATCATGAGCAAGTTTTATAGCCATTCTGAGCTCAGGTTAAACAGATGGATATTTCAGCTGCCCCTGATAAATACAGCATTTTCTAGGTGTGCTAATCCATAATGTGGATTGGCATRCACTATACAAAGGGGATCTGTACCCTTCATTTAACTGTTTATAAAACCTTTATAGCAATTATCTAATATTTCTGAAACTCATCAGAATATACAAAATGCTGTRTTTTCTTTCATTTCATTAAAGCAGCTCTTTGAAACAAGAAAAGAATAAAAACATATCCAATCACACATTAAAAGCTGTTTTCCATTCCTAGCAAGATTTTATGTTAACCAGTGGTATGGATTACACTAAATTCCCATTTAATTTGATGRGTCTGGATCAGGAGGCTTACCTTTAAGATATAAGGTCAATAAAATTGGGTATGACCAAAGAAATCTTTGGAGACAAGATATTTTTATAGACTTGATCTCTCATCCAGAGATGTTAAYGTAATTGCTGATAAAGTATAGCAGGTTAATGTTGAAAGCAATAGGAAGAGGACAATGATGGTGAAGATGACCCTATATCCTACTTAAGCCACGTCTGTATTGTCAGAATAATTGTGGCATTATTTTTGAAATTATCCTTGTGCATGAAAAAATAATATAGCTATATAAATTAGCCTTTCTTGCTATGCCAGAAACAGAAGAAAGGGTAACAAAATGTTTTGGATTAAGAGCTGATGAGAACAGTGATCTATGGCAAAATGAAACTGTTGACAAGGGGTTGAAGCAACAATCGAGACACTTTATTATGGATTGTTACTTTGTCGTTGGGGGTAACAACTGCTGATGGAAAACAGGGAACCAGTAGAAGTCAAAGAATAGAGCATTCAGAGGAGAACTGAAAGTCTTAGATGGGTTGTTTTGTCAGCTACATAATTTTTGTTTACACCTGGCTGTTTGTTTCTTTATTTATGATTGAGGCATGGGGGAGATTGGATGTATTGTTTATTTTCATTGTTGAACTGAAATAATGCCAGGCATTTTAATGAAGAAGGTCACATAGTTCTTGTTTATATACA